TAGTGCTTTTGTAAGTATGGTCATTTTATAATATTAATTCTGCCTATCCAAGAGCAAGGTAGATCTTTCCATCTTCTAAGGTCTTCTTTGATTTCTTTCTTTAGGGTTCTGTAATTTGCTTTACATAGACCTTTCACCTCTTTTGTTAAATTGATTCCCAAGGTTTTTTTTTTTTGAGGCTATTGAAAATGGGGTAGTTTTCCTCATTTCCATCTCAGAGGATTTGTCACTGATATACAAAAATGCTTTTGATTTATATCCTGCTACTTTGCTGAATTCATTTACTAGTTCTAGGAGTTTTCTGATGGAACTTTTAGGGTCTTCCAGCTATAGAATCATATCATCAGCAAATAGTGCCAATTTGAATTCTTCTTTTCCTATATGTATCCCTTTATTGCTTTCATCTGCCTAATTGCTCTGGCCAGTGTTTCAAGAACTATGTTAAATAGAAGTGGTGAAAGAGCGCATCCCTGTCTTGTTCCAGTTTTTAGAGGGAATGTCTTCAATTTTTCTCCGTTTAGAATGATGTTGGCCTGGGGCTTAGCATAAATAGTCTTTATGATGTTGAGATTATGTTCCTGTTATCCCAAGTTTTTCTAGTGTTTTGAACATAAAGGGGTGCTGTATTTTGTCAAATGCTTTTTCTGCATCTATTGAGATGATCATATGGTTCTTTAAGTCTATTGATGTGATGAATTACATTTATTGATTTCGGTATGTTGAACCAATCTTGCATCTCTGGGATGAATCCCACTTATCATGGTGCACGATCTTTTTGATATGTTTTTGTATTTGATTTGCCAGAATTTTATTGAGAATTTTTGCATCTATGTTCATTAGAGATATTGGTCTGAAGTTTTCTTTTTTGTTTGTTTGTTTTGATGTGTCTTTGCCTGGTTTTGAAATCAGAGTGATATTGGCCTCATAGAATGAGTTTGGAAGAGCTGCCTCTTTTTCTATTTCCTGAAATAAATTGGAGAGTATTGGTATTAGTTCTTCTTTAAAGGTCTTGTAGAACTTGGCTGTGTATCTGTCCAGTCCTGGGCTTTTCTTGGTTGGTAGACTTTTGATGGTGTCTGCTATTTTGTCACTTGAAATTGATCTATTTAAATTGTATATATCATCCTGATTCAATTTGGGCAAATTATAGGTCTCTAGAAATTTGTCAATGCCTTTGATATTTTCTATTTTATTGGAGCACAGGTTTTCAAAATAATTTCTAATTATCTTCTGTATTTCTATAGTGTCTGTTGTGATATTTCCTTTTTTATCACGTATGTTAGTGATTTGAGTCCTCTCTCCTTCTCTTCATCAGCATGGCTGAGGATCTGTCAACTTTATTTATTTTTTCAAAGAACCAACTTTTTGTTCTGTCAATTTTTTCAATTGTTTCTTTTGTTTCAATTCATTGATTTCAGCTCCGATTTTAATTATTTCTGTCTTCTGTTGCTTTTGGTGTTGATTTGTTCTTCTTTTTCTAGGGTTTTGAGATATAATGTTAAGTCATTAATTGTTGACTTTTTATTCTTTTAAGAAATGAACTCCATGCAATGAATTTTCCTCTTAGAACTGCTTTCATAGTGTCCCAGAAATTCAGATATATTGTATCTGTGTTCTCATTCACCTCTAAAAACTTTTTAATCTCCTCCTTGATGTCTTCTGCAGCCCATTGTTTTTTCAGTAGCATATTATTTAGTCTCCAGGTGTTGGAGTGGACTTTATTTTTGATTTCGTCATTGATTTCTAATTTCATTTTGTTATGATCTAGTAAAATGCAGAGTAGTATCTCTACTTTTTTATATTTGCTAAGAGTTGCTTTGTGGCATAGTATATGGTATATTTCAGAGAAAGATCCATGTGCTGCTGAGAAAAAAAAGTATATTCTCTTGTTGAAGGTTGGAATATTCTATATATGTAAGTTAAGTCTAAGTTATTGATTATATTATTGAGTTCTGTAGTTTCTTTGTTCAGCTTTTATTTGGAAGATCTATCTAATGATGAAAGAGGTGTATTAAATTCACCCAAGTGGCTGGGGATGTAGCTCAGTTGGTAAAGTGCTTGCCTCCCATACAAAAGGCCCTCAGTTCAATCCCCAGAACCACAAAAAAAAAAAAAAGAAAGAAAAAAATTCACCCAAAACTATTGTGTTGTGGTATACTTGACTCTTGAACTTGAGAAGAGTTTGTTTGATGAACATAGCTGCTCTGTTGTTTAGGGCATATATATTTACAATTGTTAAGTCTTGTTGGTGTTTGGTTCCCTTGAGCAGTATGTAATGTCTTTCTTTATCCTTTTTGATGGACTTTAGTTTGAAGTCTACTTTATTTAGATATGAGACTGGAAACCCCTGCTTGTTTCCACAGTTTATGTGAGTGGTATGATTTTCTCCAACCCTTCACCTTCAGTCTGTGAATGTCTTTTTCTATGAGATGTGTCTCTTGGAGGCAGCATATTGTTGGGTCTTTTTTTTTCTTTTTCTTTTTTTAATTCAATCTTCTGGTCTATGTCTTTTGATTGTTGAGTTTAGGCCATTAACATTCAGGATTATTATTGAGACATGATTTGTATTCCCCATCATTTTTTATTATTTTTTGGTATTTAACATGACTAGATTTCTCCTCTGATTTTTCCTTTAATGTAATCTCTCCCTCTGCTGATTTTCATCATTGTTTTTCATTCCTCTTCTTGGAATATTTTGCTGAGGATGTTCTGTAGTGTAGGCTTTCTAGTTGTAAATTCTTATAACTTTTGTTTATCATGGAAGGTTTTTATTTTATCATCAAATCTAAAGTTTAGTTTTGCTGGATATAAGATTCTTGGGTTAGCATCCATTTTCTTTCAGAGCTTGGTATATGTTGTTCCATGATCTCCTGGCTTTGAGGATCTGGGTTGAAAAATCTGCTGAGATCCAAATTGATCTCCCCCTATATGTGATCTGATTCCTCTCTCTTGAAGCTTTTAGGATTCTATCCTTATTCTGTTGCTAGACATTCTCATTATAATATGCTTGGTATAGATCTGTTGTAATTTTGTACATTTGGTGTCCTGTAAGCCTCTTATGTTTGGTTTTTCCAATTTGTTCTTCATGCTTGGGAAATTTTCTGATATTATCTCATTGAAGAGATTGTGCATTCCTTTGGTTTGAAACTATGTGCCTTCCTCTATCCCAATAACTCTTAGATTTGGTCTTTTGATGCTGTTCCATAATTCTTGGATGTTCTGTTCAAGGTTTCTAACTTTCTTCACTATATGATCAACTTTATTTTCCAGATTATATACTTTGTCTTCATTATCTGATGTTCTTTATTTCAAGTGATCTAGTCTGTTGGTTATGCTTTCTACTGAGTTTTTTATTTGATTTATTGCATCCTTTATTTCAAGGATTTCTGGCTTTTTTTCAGGGTCACTATCTCTCTCTTGAAGTAATATTTTGCTACCTGTATTTGCTCTCGTATTTCATTGTTGGAGTGATCAATTTTTTGCTTGTATTTGCTCATATAAGTCATTCTTTAATTCACAGATCATTTTAATTATGAACCTTCTGACATTTCATCAACTTGCTGTCCATAGATTCTGTTATTATAGTGTCCTAGTTTGTTTGGGGCACTTTCCTCTCTTGTTTTTTCATGTTGTCTATGTGTCTTCCTTTCTTGCAGTGTGGATCTGAGATATTACAGTTTCTTCTCTATATTCTTGTAGTACCTGTGTAGATTGTCTGTAACTCACCTTGATGTTTGGCTTCCAAACCCTGATGGTGTCCCTCAATGGATGTTACTGAATCCTGTGTCAGGTGGAGTGGGTGGATCTGGGCCACTGGGCTTGACCTCCCAAGGTAGGCTGCTGGTAGGAAGGGGCGGTCTTATTCCAAAGGCTAGACTCTGGCAGTGTCTGCCCTGCTGGGGGAGGGGTAAACCCAACTTAGTGAGACCCTGGATCCCACATGGGCTGTTGTGAGCCATCTGGAATGAATCTCAGCTTTGGGGTAGTGCACTGGTCAGAAGGGGTGGTCCTGCACCAGAGGCTAGGCTCTGGTGAGTGTCTACCCTGCCGAGAAAGGGGTGGACCCAGCCTGCTGTGCACCTGGGCCCTGCAGAGGCTGGTGTGGGTGGATCTGGGCTGCTGGGCTTGACCTCCCAAAGTTGTCTGCTTGTAGGAAGGGATGCTCTTATGCCAAAGGCTAGGCTCTGGCAGTGTCTGTCCCTCTGGGGGAGGGGTGAACCGGGCCTACTGAAATCCTGGATCCCAAGTGGGCTGTCTGGGCTGGATCTCTGCTCTCCGGGTAGTACACTGGTCAGAAGGGGTGGTCCTGCCACTTCAGTATATCTTTAGTTATTATTATGAGTAATACTGTATTGAATGTACTTGCATAAATCTTTGTTTACATGTCTAAAATTTTTTTTTAATCTCAGGTTATATATTTTTTCTTTGTGGTACCAAGGATTGAACCTAGGGACTCACACACACTAAGCAAGTCTCCATCTCTGTACATCCCTAGCCCTAGATCTCTAAAATAGAAATTACTACTCAAACAACTTCTTCTGACCATGCCCCCACACACATTCATTCTCCTCCTTCTCCTTCTTGGTAGTATTTTTCTAGATTGCCCAGGCTGACCTGGAATTTGTGATACTCCTGCTTCAGCCTCTAGAACAGCTGGGATTACAGGCATAGGCTACCAGCCTTGAACACACAAGTCCTCCTCTCTCTGCCAACAATCTAAATTCCTTTAAACTTTCATTTGGCTTTCCTTCCTTATGACCCTCTGGTGTTTTGTTCACACTTTGAATGTGGATCTCTTTATAATGTGCTACATTTTTTAAAAAAAACTTACCTCTTTCTCAATTAGAAAATATGTGTCCTAAGCAGGACTGTGTTTTTTAATTCATCAAAGAATCAACACAACATCTGGCCTGGTTGATTGAGTATTCATGTTTAGTAATTCAGAATATTCATAAATATAATCATTTGTCTTTACATTTATGTTTATGCTTTTCTAACAGGATGGTATTTCGGATTCAGTTGATAATTTTCAAAACACTGTGTTATCAGTTCCTAATCTCGTGCCTGATTCGTATTTTGATGCTTTCACCAGCCCTTACATTAACAACAAACTTGAAGAAAAAACTTGTGGACCTGGGCCAAGTTTATCATCTGTGTTTGATGATGATAAGAATTATCACATAATTGTCTATCAAATAAAGGTAAATTTACTTTTACTAAAACTGTTTTATATTTTCAGTTTTTAAGAAATTGAGTAATATATTTTCTTTCTGTCTCATCTTTAAATATTTTATTTGTGAAAATTGGAATAAATGTAATTTCTACATGGTAAAATTTGAAAATAATGTTGATACCTAAAATATTGCCCTGTTAAGCAAGAGATAACTTTTTAATAGCATTAAAATATCTGGCAAAGCAGTTACATATCATTAGCAATCTATATGCATGTGCTTCTAGTGAGGCAATAATGGCTATTGAGAATTCTTACAGACACAAGCAGAACCTGGATGACTTACCAGCTAATACAATATTTTTAATTGAAGTCATTTCCTATTAAATGTTTTGTGCTTTATAAAAGTATAATGTAATTATTTGAGGCTCATTAGAAATGTAATAATATCTATTGATAACTCTTCAAAAGCACTGTATCAAGTATACTTTGAACATAGCATTTCATATGCTAACATTTTCAGCTTAAATGTCCCAACTTTTAAAAACAAAAGCACATTTACAGAGAATATTGATGTGAGAAGGGAAAAAGCAGCCCTATTCTTTGGTTTAATTGCCAAGGTATCAGGAGGATTGCAAGTTCAAAGCCAGCCTCAGCAACTTAGTGAGATCATGTCTCAAAATAAAAAATAAAGAGCTAGGGAGGTAGCTCAGTGGGTTCAGTCACCCATGAAGAAGGAGGAGGAGGAAGAGGAGGAGGAGCAGCAGCAGCCAGTTGCTCAGATATGGAATTAAGCAAAGTGCATTTCACCTGATTAATGAATTAAAAAAATGTGGTATATATTCACATTGGAATACTCTGGCCAAATAATGAAATCCTATTCTTTACAAGAACACTGATGGAATTGGAGATCATTATGCTGAGTAAAATAAACCAGACACAGTAAGATAAGGACATGTGATCTCCCTCTAAAAAGACTGATCTCATAGAAGTTACTAGAGGTTGGAGAGAGCAGTGGGGAGGGAGGGCTAGGGAAAGATTGATCAATGGGTATAAGTTACAGTTAGATAGAAAGAAGAAGTACTGGTGTGCTATTGTACTGCAGGGTGGCTACAGGTAACATTTATGTACTATGTATCTCCAAAAGCTAGAAGAAAGGATATTAAATGTTTTCACCATGAAGAAATGATACATGTGGAGGAGGTTAACTATATCTCCTAACTTAATAGTTAACCTAACTTAATCTAAACATAACATGGTACCTCATTAATAATGTCCAATTTTATGTCTTTGTTTTCAATTAATAATAAAAATGAAATTAATATGCAAAAGTATGATGAGAAACAAGATATTTATATAAGTTCAGAGCTTCTCTTCATAACATATTTAGTGATTTCAAAGGGGAAAGTAGTGTGAGTTTACAATGATAAGCCTAGCAGATGCCACTGTAATTAATCTGTTAACATTACAAATAATCACACAAAATCACATTATGTATCTTTTGATAGGATGCCCTGAAAACACACATCATTTTGTGATATTATAGCCAGAAATGTATAGCTGAATCTAAACATTAGGAAACATAAAACACAAATGCATACAGACAATCTTAAAAAATGTAAAAGTCATGAAAAAAAAAGTAAGATTGAGAAAGTCTTCCAGATTAAAGGAAACCAAAAAGCTATAATAAGATGGCATGTGATATCCTACATAGAACAGTGTACTAGTACTATTTTTTTTCTTTCTTTTGTTATGAAAAAAATAATGTGACAAATGACTGACTTGCATAATGTTTATAGTTGGATAATATAAATATCCATGTTCATTTTCTGATTCAGACCATTGTATTATGTTTATGCAAGAAAATATCCTTGCATTTGATAAATAAATTCTGAAATGATTAGGGGTAAAGATGCCACACTTGTAATTTTCTCCCAAATTGTTTAGAGTAAAATAATAGATATAGAAAGAGAATAATGAAGGAAATGTGGCAAATTGCTGAAATTTCAGGAACTAAGGTAAGCAATGGAATTCTTTATACTGATCCAGCAACATTTTTTCTTTTTTTTTTAATTTTTTTTATTGGTTGTTCACAGCATTACAAAGTTCTTGACATATCATATTTCATATATTAGATTGAAGTGGGTTATGAACTCCCAATTTTTACCCCAAATGCAGATTGCAGATAGAAATTATATCAAAATTTAAAAAAAAATTGGGCTGGGGATGTGGCTCAAGCGGTAGCGCGCTCGCCTGGCATGCGTGCGGCCCGGGTTCGATCCTCAGCACCACATACCAACAAAGATGTTGAGTCTGCCGAGAACTAAAAAATAAATATTAAAAATTCTCTCTCTCTCTCTCTGTCTCCTCTCTCACTCTCTCTAAAAAAATTTTAAAAAAATTTTTAAAAATTTCAATCATTTTGAATATCAGTGGAGCTTTCCAACTATAGGCCTCATATTATGTTTTTGTCACCCATATATATGTTCATATCACACACATATCAGTCAGCTCAAAAGAGTAACAGTTTGAAATTGATTTTTAAAAATTTTTATTGTAAAGGCACAAATATTCTGTAAGGTTACATAAGAGCCTAATAAAAGAAAATAAATGAAACAAATAATTAATATAGACATTTAAGGTATTTACCATTTTTTGTAAGCTAAATTTTCTAGTACTTGCCTACCATCTATAAAGCATGACTCTGAAATATTTTCCCTATCATTGGTATGTTGGGTTTGTGTAATTCCATTAATTGTCTTTAGTTTTCCATGAGGAAAAAAAAATGTTCACTTGCAAGAAGTCTTGAAAGGAAATAAAAAGGTAAGTTTTGGGGTATAACAAGGAAGTCATATGTCAAGACCAACAACAAATTTAAACTGCCTTTTATAAGCATTAAACATGTGATAATATATGTCAATCTAGGTATTAAAGGGACTGAAATAAGTGCAAGTAATTATTTTGGGTTGGCAGGGATTGTGGGGAAATAAAGGTTGGAGCCAAATATAAAAAGTGAAGGAAAATATTTTATTAGGGCAATGTATGAAGGACATTTTGGAATGAAAGACTGGTCAGTGCAGAGAATTTGTCAGTAAGTATAACAAGTGATTTTGTAGGCATGCCAACTAGTTTTTGCTTTTATTCAAAAATATATCCACTAAAACATAAAATTTGCAGCTTGGAAAATGAAAAGGCATTAACTCTTTGCCAGGTTTACTAATGATTTATTGTCTACCATAAAAAGCAGAAAAAATTGACAAGTGTTCTTCTTTTCAATCATCAGGAATAATTCTTCAAAAGTCAAATTTAAAGAGTATTTTCAAAAAATTTATAAGTTTCTTCTTGAGTTTATTAACTTCCCCTTGACATCAAGGATATGCCTTTCCTAATTCATGTATCCCCAAGTCAAAGCATATTTCTGGACACAGAGGCACTACTTGTATGTGTATATATGTATGTGTCAATGCTAAATTGAATTCTGCTTAAGAAAAATATAGTGGTTTTATTTTCATCTGCTTGTTTATAACATTTAGGAAACTGTTCGTGCAGCATTTGAGTCTGCCTACTTATATGCAGCTACTTTTGAAAAGATCCATTTATTCTTTAAGGAAAATGAGAGTCTTGATTTGCAAGCTCTTAAACTTCAAGAACCTGGTAAGTCTTCCATTTGTCCATACTAATTATTTTTTATAGAAATACCAAGTATGTGGTCTTGTAGTTTTCTGTATGCGGGTATTTGGTGACAGAAAGAGTAGCCCTAAAAAGTCCCAACAAAAGTCAAGAATTTATTTATTTATAGATTATTTTCCATAGATTTACTTTCCCCCTTTATCTTTACTCAGTACTGCTATTTTATTTCAGGAAATTTGGGGGAGCAATTTCTTCCTAATGGCTTATCTTTTAGTATGATGTTTTATTTGTACTAAGGCTGTACAAACTGTATATGGGAATGAGTTGAAAATACTATATACATCTCTACCAGTTCTATTAAATGAAGCTTATATAACTTTTTTCTTTCTTAGGAATTTGAGTAATCTTTTTTTTGTCAGGGGAACCACATTGAGACCTGATGGGTGTGAATTAACAAGTCTTAGTCATGAAATTATACTGGGGGAATTATTTTAGTAGACATATTATCTTTGAGAAAAGAAAATAATCTAGAATATTAGATTGAAATTTTAGGCAAGGAAATTTAGATAATTATAAAAATTAAGTACATATTATTTGTTATTGCTATTTAAAACAAAGTACAGTTCTTGTTTTATGAACTGGTTTTATTGCTTTTTTAATATGCAAAATAATCATTTTGATACTTTGCCTCATGAACCAGCATTAATTTTTCTATAAGTTTTATATTTTTATTTCAATCCTTCATTATGTTAAAGTATTTTAAATTAGACTTTCCATCTCTAAGTTAAATAATTCAATATCCTCCTACAGAACCAAAATATTAGTATCACATTACCATCCAAAAAAAACTTAATTGTTTAAAAAATTGCTAAACAATTGTTAAACTTGTTCCATATTCAAAATTTCCCAGGTAAACCAGATTATATCTGACTTGGCCCAAGATCTAGTACAAGACCAGGCATTGTATCTGGTTGTTATGTCCCTTAAGTTTTAAAAATCTGCAACAGACATTTTTTTTTCTATTTACTAACTTAATAAAGACCTTACTTTAGAAAAAAAATGATAAGTTTTCTTCCATTGTTCTTTGGAAACACTCTCAACTGAGACAGTGCATGTTGAACTGAAGTGAACCGACAGGGATACAGGACATCATGCCTTGTGTGCTGGGCCATCACATCATGGGGTCAGTAAAGTAAAGAGCCTGACATTTCAGCACTACATTAGTAGGCCTAATTCAAACAACTATTTAATCAATTAGTTCTTCTAAATTTTCAGAGACTGGAGAGTACAATATTTTTTCTTAATTTTTATTTCTTCTTTTTAGTTTTATATGACAATAGAATGTATTTTGACATATTGTACGTGCATGGAGTATAACTTCCCCTTCTTGTGGTTGTACATGATGCAGAATTACACTGGTTGTGTATTAATGTATGAACATACTGAATTATGTCTGATTCATTCTACTGAAATTTCTATTCCTATTCCCCCTCTCTTCCCTTCATTTTCTTTTGACTAATTCAATGAATTTCTATTCTTCCTCCCACTCCACCCATGTTTTGGTATTAGCAGCCACATGTTGAGAAAACATTCAGACTTTGTTTTTTTGGGATGGCTTATTTCACTTAGCATGATAGTCTCCAGTTCCATCTATTTACTAGAAGATGCCATAATTTCATTCTTTTATGGCGGAGTAGTATTCCATTCTGTATACATACCACATTTTTCTTTATCCATTCATCTATTGAAGGGCACCTAGGTTGGTTCCATAGTTCAGCTATTGTGAATTGAACTGCTGTAAACATTGATGTGGCTGCATCACTATAGTATGCTGATTTTAAGTCCTTTGGGTATATGAAACGAATGGGATAACTGGGTCAAGTGGTGATTCCATTCCAAGTTTTTTGAGGAATCTCCATACTGCTTTCAAGAGTGGTTGCACCAATTTGAAGTCCCACCAGCAAATGGGACAGCAAAAACCATGTATGAAATGTATGAGTATACTTTTTTCCCCACATCCTTGCCAATCTTTTGTTACTTGTATTCTTGAATTACCATTCTGACTGGAGTGAGATGAAATCTCAATGTAGTTTTAATTTGCACTTCTCTAATTGCTAGAGATGTTGAACATTTTTCATATATTTGTTAACCATTTATATTTCTTTTTCTGTGAAGTGCCTGTTTAGTTCCTTTGCCCATTTTCTGATTAAGTTATTATTTTTTGATGGTAAGGTTTTTGAGTTCTTTATATATTTTGGATATTAATGCTCTAAGATGCAGGTGACGGAGATTTTCTCCCATTCTGTAGGCTCTGTCTTGATGCTTTGGATTGTTTCCTTTGCTGTGAAGAAGCTTTTGAGTTTGATACCAACCCATTTATTGATTCTTGTTTTTAATTCTTGTACTTAGGAGTCTCATTGAGGAATTTAAGCCAACATGATGGAGATTGGGGCCTACTCTTTCTTCTAGTAAGCACAGGGTCTCTGGTCTAATTCCTAGATCCTTGAACCACTTTGAAGTGATGTTTTGTGCAGGGTGAGAGATAGGGTTTTAATTTTATTTTGTTACACATGGATTTCCAATTTTCCCAGCACCATTTGTTTAAGAAGCTATCATTTCTCCAATGTATGTTTATAGCACCTTTGTCTAACATGAGATAACTGTTTTTATGTGAGTGTGTCTCCTCTGTTTTGTACCATTGGTCTTCATGTCTGTTTTGGTGCTAATACCATGGCATTTTTGTTACTATAGCTCTGTAGTATAGTTCAAGGACTGGTATTGTGATGCCTCAGCTTTGCCCTTCTTGCTAAGGATTGTTATGGCTATTCTGGTTTTCTTATTTTTCTGTATGAATTTCATGATTGCTTTTTCTAGTTCTATGAAGAATGTTATTGGCATTTTAATAAGTAATGCATTAAATATGTATAGCACTTTTGGTAGAATGGCCATTTTGACAATATTAATCTGCCTATGCAATAGCATGGGAGATCTTTCCATCTTTTGAGGTCTTCTTCAGCTTCTTTCTTTAGTCTCTGTAGTTTTCATTGTAGAGGTCTTTCACCTCTTTTGTTAGATGGATTCCCAAATATTTTTGAGGCTATTATGAATGGAATAGTTTTCCTAATTTCTCTTTAAGTTGATTCATCACTGATATATAGAAACATAATTGATTAATGTGTGTTAATTTTATATCCTGCTACTTTGCTGAATTCATTTATGAGTTCTAGAAGTTTTCTGGTGGAGGTTTTTAGGTCTTCTAAATATAGAATTATGTTGTCATAAAATAGTGATAATTTGAGTCCTTCTTTTCCTATTCTTATCCCTTTAATTTCTTTAATCTTTTTAATTGCTCTGGCTTGAGTTTCAAGGACTGTGTTGAATAGAAGTGGTGAAATAGGGCATCTTTGTCTTGTTCCAGTTTTTAAAGGGAACTCTTTCAATTTATTTTCCATTTAAAATGATATCAGGCTTGGGGTAAAATTTGTAGCTTTTATAGTGTTGAGGTATGTTCCTAATATTCCTAGTTTTTCTAGTGAATGGATGCTATATTTTGTCAAAAGCTTTTTCTGCCTCTACTGAGATAAACATGTGATTCTTGTCTTTAAGTGTATTGATGTGATTAATTACATTTATTGATTTCTATATATTGAACCCCACTTGATCATGGTACACTGACTTTTCAATATGTTTTTTATGCAATTTGTCAGAATTTTATTGGGAATTTTTGTATCTATGTTCATAAGGGATATTGGTTTGAAGGTTTTTTTTTTCCTTGAGGTGCCTTTGTCTGGTTTTGGTATCAGGATGATACTAGCTTCATAGAATGAGTTTGAAAGGATTCCCTCATTTTCTATTTCTTGGAATAGTTTGCGGAGGATTTGAATTAATTCTTCTTCGAAGGTCTAGTAGAACCCAACTGAGAATCCATCTGATCCTGGGTTTTTCCTTGTTGGTAGGCTTTTGATAGCATCTTTAATTTCATTATTTGAAATTGATCTGTTTAAATTTGCTATGTCCTCCTGATTCAATTTGTGTAGTTCATATGTCTCTAGGAATTTGTTGGTGTCTTCAAGATTTTTTATTTAATTACAGTATAAATATTTATTATTGTTATCTGTATTTCAGTAGTCTCCATTGCAATATTTCCTTTTTCATCACCAATTTTAGTAATTTGAGATCTCACTCTGTTTTTATTCATTAGTTTGGCTAAGGGTTTATCAATTTCATCAAACAACCACCTTTTTGTCAATTTTTTGGATTTTTTTGTGTATGTGTGTTTCAATTCCATTGATTTCAGCTCTGATTTTAATTATTTCTTGTCTTCTTCTGCTTTTGCTTTTTATTTGTTCTTATTTTATTAGGGCTCTGACATGTAATATTAGGTAATTTATTTGTTGACATTCCATGCTTTTAATGAATGAGCTCAATAAAATGAATTATCCTCTTAGAACTGCCTTCATTGTGTCCCAGAGATTTTGATAAGTTGTATTGGTATTCTCATTTACCTATAAGTTTTTTTTTTTATTTCATCCATGATTTCTTCTACTATTGATTGGGGTCATTCAGTAGAGTATTATTTAGTCTCCAGGTTTTAGAGTAGCTTCTATTTCATTATCATTGATTTCTATTTTCATTTCATTATGATCTGATAGAATGCAAGTATTATCTCCATTTGTTTTGCAGTTGCTAAGACTTGCTTTGTGGCACATAATATGGTGTATTTTAGAAAAGGATCTATTGTGCTGCTGAGAAGAAAGTGTATTCAGTCATTGATGGATGGAATATTCTATATATGTCTGTTACATCTAAATTATTAATTGTAACTTTTAGTTCTATATCTTCTTTATTTAATTGTTGTTTAGATGACATAGCCTGTGGTGAGAGAGGTGTGTTATAGTCCCCAGTAGTATTATGTTGTGGTCTATTTGCTTCTTGAAATTGAGAATTGCTTATTTGATGTACATAGAAGCTTCATTATTTAGGGCATAAATATTTATGATTATTATTTTGTATTGATATATAATTCCCATAAGCAGTATGAAATGTCCTTCTCTGTCCCTTAACTTTGGCTTGAAGACTAGTTTATCTGATATTAGGATAGAAACCCCTGCTTGTTTATGAGATCCATGTGAATGATATGTTTTTCCCAGTCTGAATGTCCTTGCCTATCAGGTGAGTCTCTTGGAGACAGCATATTGTTGGGCCTTGGATTAAAAAATCCAATCTATTAGTCAGTGTCTTCAGATTGATGAGTTTAGGCCATTTACATAAATGTTATATTGAGAAATGATTTTTATTCCCAGTCATTTTTATTTATTTATGGTTTTAAACTTTAATTAGTTTCTTCTTTGATTGACTAGTCATCTAGTGTAGTTCCCCCCTTTGGAGTCTACATTATTTTTTATTTCTTTTTTATGAGATATTTTATTGAGTATTTTATAGTTCAGGCTTTCTAGTTGTGAATTCTTTTAACTTTTATTTGTCATGGAAGGTTATCATTTCATCCTCAATTCTGAAGCTTAATTTTGGTGGGTATAGTATTCTTGGTGGGCATTTTCTTTAAGAGCTTGGTATATATTATTCCAAGACCTCCCGGCTTTGAGGGTCTGGGTTGAGAAATCTGCTGAAATCTGGATTGGTTTCCCTCTAAATATGAAGTGTTTTTTTTCCTCTGGCAGCCTTTAAAATTGTATCCTTGTTCTGTGTGTCAGGCATTTTATAATAATATGCTTTGGAGTGGGCCTGTTATTATTTTGTGTATTTGGGGTCTTTCCTTTATCTGATTTTTCCATCTTGTTCTTTAGTTTTGGGAAATTTTTAAGTATTATTTCACTGAAAAGATTGTGCATTCCTTTGGTTTGTATTTCCCAGCCTTCATCTGTTCTGATAAATCTTAAATTTGGTCTTTTCAGGTTATTCTATATTTCTTGGAAGTTTTGTTCATGGTCTCTTAACATCTATACTGTTTGCTCAACTTTATTAAGAAGATTGCCTGAAACTCTGTCTTCCAAAGGGGTCTAGTCTGTTGGTGATGCCCTCCATTAAATTTTTAATTTGTGGGGCAGGGGTTGTGGCTCAGTGGTAGTGCACTTGCCTAGCATGCATGAGGCACTGGGTTTGATTCTCAGCATCATATACAAGTAAATAAAATAAAGGTCCATCAACAACTAAAAAAATTCTTTAAAAAATTAATTTGCTTTATTGATTCCTTCATTTAGAGGATTTCTGCTTGATTTTTTTGAATTTTTTTCTGAATCTCTATCTCTTTATTGAAGTGATCTTTCACTTCCTATATTTTCTCTCCGATTTCACTGCTTAGATCATCCTTTACCTTGCAGATCAGTTTAACTATGTACATTCTAAATTCCTTCTCTGACATTTCTTCCACTCTAATGTAGATGGAGTCTATTATTGAAGTATCTTGGTTTGTTTGGTGCTTTTTCATAACGTTTGTGTGTCTACGCATCTAATAGTATGGCTCTGAGGCAGTGGAGATTCTACCCAATGGACTTAGAGTATCCCGGAAGGTTTCTAGTACCTAACTGTTTAGGGGGAGACAAATAATTACAACAACCAATACAAACAGTATACAGCATTAAACCAAATCGTTTCTGCTATGACATCTATAGTTTTAATTGTCACAATAAACAGAAAAGATATAATCAATTGTTGCCTACAATAAAAAACAATAAATTTGCAAAATGGTTTATAATTTGAATGGTGGATAGGGAGAGAACAGAAGCGATGTATGATGTGATGATAAATCAGGGAAGAGGAGAAAAGGTGTAAAAAATTAAAGGAATAGTGAAAGAGGAAACAATAGAGATTGGCTATTAGCAGAAGAGAGAATGATAATCAAGGGAAACAAATAAGTAAGAGAAAATATATATATGGTAAAAAAATTAAAAATAAATAAAAATTAAAGAATACAAAACAAAACTGAAATATACTAATCAAACTCCCTAGTCTTCAAAAAATGGATCCATGAATAATAACTGGTTTCAAAAATGCTAGAAATGAGGAAAAACAGCAAATATGAATATGTATAATGTCCAAGAATCCATTAAGGTCTAGTTAAACAGAGAAAAAGGAAAAAAGAAAAAAAATCAATGAAGGTTAAAGAATTGTTTCCATTGTAATTCAAAAGATTCTCAGCTTCCCTTCTCCAAAGGGTTAGGTGGGCTCCTCTGGAGTATGGTGCTAGCTCTACCCTCAGGGTGGGGTTGCTGAGTTTGATTTTCTCCTGGTCACTTGGGCACACTCTGTTATGCAATGTGAATTTTCCAGGCACATATTTTAGGCTAATATTGGGATTACCAGGAATTGGCTCTCTAGCTGTCAGCTCCTGTGCTACAGTTGCAAAATGATTCTTTCCTCTGTCCTCCACACACACCTGAGAGAAATGCAGATTCTTCCCCACACAAGGATATTGTGCAGCAYATCTTTCAGTTTAATCAGGCAGTGTCTTTAATCTCTAAATTCTCCATACCCAGACACACCTAAGTCCTCCTAAAAATGTGCATTCCTTGAATTCCCTCATTCTTCTACTTTGCTTGCAGAGGGACCACTTTGGCTGGTGTACATTCTAATCACAGCTATAGCAGTGATTATGGCACTGGAAATTTCTTCCTTATTTTATTATATCCAACCTCTTGAGTCCCCAGTCTGCTTTTAATGATCATTATTAAATTCCAGTAAAGTCCCTTCCCTTTTAAATTTTTATTTATTTATTTTTTGTTTAATGACCTTGTGGAGAAGCTGCGTATCTGCTTTCTTGGTTTCATGCCACAGAGCCACCAGAAAAGAGACTTTCTCTTTTCCACCATCTTGAAAACCCACATGATTTTCAAAGACAAGTGTCAGAGTTTGGAATTGTATATGCATTAGAAGGAGTTGGTTTTTTAATAATGACATGATAAAAATGTATTCAAATACAATCAGGCTTCAATTGGTTCCAGGTGAACTGGAGAAAGAAAGAAAAAGGAGACTGGAAGATTGTCCAAATGCAACTGCAATTTATGACAGATGCAAGTTGTCAAATGCCTTAACATGATGTAAAGAGTAGGAATGACAGAGAAGTGTTAGGAAGATGAATGGAGATAACTTTAACTATATTATATTTGAGCTCCTTTGTTTTAAAATTTTGTTGTGAATATCCTCCAAAATGCTTTCCTTTCAGATATCATGTGAGAGAACCCTTAGATTAACCCTAACTCGAAACCAACCTATCTCTAGAATCTAGTCCACTCCAGAATCACTGCAATGATTCATAGTGAATAATAATTCATCAAGTCACATTGTTTTTGTTTTCTAGTGCATATAAAAGATACAAAAGTTATGTTTACACTATAGTCTATTAAGTGTGCAATAGCATTATGTCTAAAAGCAATGCATAAATCTTAATTTAAAAATACTTTGTAACTAAAAGTGTGCTAACAATCATCTGAACTATTGAAAAAAATGGCACCAATAGACTTGCTTGATGCAGGTTGCTACAGAACTTTAATTGGTTAAAAATTAATTATCTGTGAAGTGCAATAAAGTGAAGCACAATTAAACAAGGTATGTATGAAGAATTATTCTCATCTGTCCTTTCTTAATAGGAACTGGAAAACATGTTTATATTGTAAACTATTGGACTTTTTATTATAATAATAAAATATCAAACATTCTGAGCTAACAGATAATGTACTCTTAGATAATAACATTATAAATGCATGTATATTCAATTATTTTAATATATTTTATAATGACCCTTTAAAATCCAATATGATATATTTTATGATTTATGTGAATTGTTTTATGTAGATGTTAAGTACTTTAGTGACCAACTGGAAAAATATCACAAACAGCACAAGGATGCACTGGCTCTAAAACCCACCAGAAATGTAGGATTGCTGCTCATAGACACCAAGCTGCTAAAAGAAAAATTAATTCCATCACCTTTTCGATGCTTGGAGGTAACTATGAACTAGGAAAAATTTTAATTATGGTCTCTACAATCATTTCTTGGTTTCAACAACAAAAGTAAAACAAGTTTCTTGTATTGTAAAGATAGAAATGAATAGAAGACTACTTGTCATCCTTAATTTCTAAGAAAAATTTCATGTTTTTTCTATCACAAGCATAATCTGCTTATAGATTTAATAGAGAAGAGATCTGCAAATGTCAGACTAACCTCTTACTCCTACTTCTTTTTCTTTTGTGGGAATGTTTCAAGACTTCCAGGTAAGAGATACTACTGTTACATTTCAGTGTCCTAGTAGCAATGCTGCTTGATTCTATGATATTGAGATCTAGTTTAAAGAATCATTTCCTTATTTGGAATATAGAATAATTCATAAAAACATGACAATAAATTCCTTTGGAGCCAGCATGTATCTGTATGTTCCCAAATGACTCCAAGGAGACAAAGCTATAGAATAGAAATTGGAGAAATAAAAGGTCAATACAGCCTGCCTCTTGCTTTATACACAAGATTATCAAAATGCAACTGCAATCATACGCCAGATGGAGACTGACAAATGCCTTAACCATTATGTAAGGAGCAGGAATGGCAAAGAAATGTGGGGAAGAAGAATGGAGCTCTTGAGTTTCAAAATTTTGTTGTCATTCTCAAAATGACTGGAAGATAGTTGAGACACATTGTCTATGGCTGCTTTCTTACTGTTAAGGGCAGAGTTGAATGGTTGCAACAGAGATTATATGTCTTGCAAATCCGAGATATTTAATATATGACCCTATGGAATATCCTTGCTGACTCTTTATGTAGGTAACAGAAGATAGAGCATTGGCTAAAATGCTGAGGGCCTAAGTGCCAGTATGTTCTGTCATTAATTAGTTGTATGACATTGAATTTACTCCTAGGTCTTTACTTCTTCATCTGTTAAAAAAGAAAATGACTATACATATAATTAGAGAAAACTCAACTTTCACAAACATTTTTGAGCCCTAGTATATATCAAGCAAAGAAAATCAAACTCAAACTGTCTTAAGCAATCAGAAAATGTATGGGTTTATGCAACCAAACAGTCCAGGGATTAGGTAGACAGTCAGGAGGTTTCATCTAATGGTTTGATATTACCATGGACCAAATTTCTTTCATTTTCCTTTCTGGGCTGTCAATGTATCATCTTCATACTAAAGTGAGCATTTTTTTTTCAAATATTTGTTAAATGGTTGTTGAAAGCTCCTCAGGCCAATTATTTCCTTGTTTGTATACAAAAAGAAAATAGAGATTTGGCTTCTGTGTACACATTCCTCTCAGCCGTGAACAGAAGTCCCAGGATCAGTTAAGGGAAGACATCATCCTAATCCAATCAGCATGCTCATGTTTGCCTAAAACACTCAGACCCTCTCTTTGTTCCTGAAGTAGAGATCAGTTTCTCCCAGACCATATAGCTACCACCCAACATGAAAGGAAAGAGAATAACGCTGGAGAGGGCAGCACAGAGCACACTACAGAGAGCAAAGAAGCAGAAAGTACACTTGCAAGATTTGAGAGAATTTAGGGAAACTATTTAGTAAGCTGTGCAGCCTATTTTGTATAAAAATGATCTATAAAATCTGATCTTTTTGGTTCATTTGACTAGCAATGATTTAATGAGAAAAAATATTCCCTTCACATGTATTGCTGTTTCCAAAACTTGACGATTTAGCAGATGTCCACTTAGGACTTATTTAAAATATATAACAAAGTAAAAATATTCATGTATTTATGATTCACATTTTCTTTCTCTTTCTTAGGTGCTGAATTTTATGCTTCCTCGTTTAAGCAAGAAAAAAGTGGATGCTATTATCTCTGAGGCCCAAGATGCAGAGTATAAACTTGAATTTGTTCCAAGCACTACCATAGAATATGTTAACAGTTTAGTATTTCTTGATGAAATTCAGGAACGGGTGAGTTTATTAGCTTACATAACTTAATATTCCTGTTCTTAAGGTAGGAAAATAGTATGTGTGATAAGAAAACTTGAGGGACTATGAGTCAGAACCACTGTCAAAATATCAGAAATACTTTCAAAGTAAAGGCACCCTACATTACAGCATTAATGACCCCTTACATTTACCAAACTCTTACTCCTAGTCAGGAATTTTGTTAATTTTTTTACATGTGCTAAATTTTTAATCCTCACAAAAACTTGAGAAGTATGAATAATTTTATCCTGATTCTACTGACGAGGAAACAGGGACTAAAATAGGTTATGCTGTCCAAAATCACAGAACTTGTATGTGGTAAAGCTGGAATTTTGACCACAAAACCAAAATTCTCAACCATACTTTATTGCAATTCTAATTTTAATAAATGGTAATAGAATGGTAACCAGATATTAGTCATTACAGAAGTCTTAACCCTTAATACATAGCTGCATAATAGTCAGTAACCTTTCTATTAAAAATGGACAAAGTTACAAACTCTGAACCACTTAAGTGGGAAGGTGGGAGBGGGGAGTAAAATGTGTATATGGATACTGAAGGAATGCAAATGAAAGGCGCTCTCTCTCTCTCTCTCTCTCTCTCTCTCTCTCTCTCTCTYTCACACACACACACACACACACACACACACACACATCCTCACTCAAATCTTTTGTCTGCCTTGCTTCTTTCTCCTACAAACTTGATTTACTTCTGTCAGTCTGTGGCAGGCAATCCGGCATTTGACTTTAATAGTTGGTTTTTCGAAACTTTCATTCATAGCAGTTTGGCATTGAAATAGAAATAAATTACTTTCTTAAATGCCTGAAAATTGAAGAATTATTATGAATAAATAATATAAACTGAATAAGTCATTAACAACTGGGCAGTTTGTAATGTATTATTAACAAAATTAACAGTAAAGTCTATTTCTCATGCCTACAAAAATAACAATCTTGTGTATCATTTTAAGAATAGCATTTCTCCAAGGGACAGATAATTTTTTATTTCCCCCAGATGTGCTTTTACATCATCCCATGAGTCTACAGATGGCAAGCATTTATCATTATTTGTATTTATTAAGCTTTTTTAGACAAATAAACAAAACCCAGGTAATTTATCTTAAGCCAAAATGGGGCTCTCATTTAAGAATTCAAAGGTGTTTCATGGATCCCTTTCCTCTTCAAGAGCGTAATTAGGCTCAGGAAATGATTAGAATCAGTACAGATCAGCTTTAGGAATCCGAGTTAGACTTCACTCTCCTTCTCTCTGCATTTCTCTTCCTCTCTATATCTCTTTGAAGGTCTGCTTCACTTCTCTTCCAATACAATGAGGCTGCTAGTTCATTCTGTGCTGCAGCCCAGCTGGCTGGGCAAAATAACGGGGGGGGGGCAACTTGTGTACGTTGATACAGCAGGAGTGGGAGCTGTTTATTGTAGGATAACAGAGGTATTTATACATTCCACACAGCTTATGTTAATTAGCATAAACTAGATACATCAGTCAACCAATAAGGAATCGCCACACTTAATGGCTCGCTGGCGTTACTTCATAAACCATTCCCTCTGGCATTTTGCCAGGCGTCATCCAGACTTGTTTACAGACTCAATCCTGTAGTAGCAAATATGGCCACCAGCAGCTCCCAAGTGACAGGTTGCAAGTCTAACAGCCACAAAAGAAGATAATTTATCCTTCCAATAGTGATTCTACTATCTAGTAAATGGATTTAGCCCCATCCCGCTCCAATTTTATCAACTATGTTAGGAGGGTAAGATCATATCATAATCAAAGGCTTAGTGTGGTTCTAGAGTAGGAAGTTTCTGTGTACAGAAAACAAGACTGTCCCATCTCCAGGAATTTATTCATGGTTTCTGGGTAGTATGTTTGGGAAGTAGCTTCCCTTAAGGAGATGCTCTTCATAACAGATAGCTTTTTTTGTAACTTCATTAATTCAATCAGCAAATTTAGAGAACACTTACTTAGCAGAATACAAGGATTACAACAATAACTAAACCTGTTTTCAAGGAGATCAGAGTCTAGAATGAAAGTAGACAATTATGATACAATTAGTAGAGGTACAAGAAACAGTTGTAAGGACTACGGCTTTTTTAATCACTCTTGTCTATGGGTCACAGAAGACTTTGTGGAGGATAGCGTATTTAAGGTATGTGCTAAAATACATCAAACATTTAGCTAGGCATTTCAAGGAGAGAGAAAAAACCAATAACAAAGATATGAGGCAAGATGACAAAAAACATGATTTGGGAACTGGTGAAGTGCTATGTAAACTGTGTGTTGCTAAAGCAGGAGAGAAGAAATGAATTCTAGAAATGTTAAGTATAAGTGAAAGGACAACTGAATAAGAGGACAAGCAAAGAGTCTGAGATGACTCCTAGGTATCTTTTTATAGTTGATGGGCTGATAGTAGTATCATACCAGCACAGGCAGGTTAGGCTGCACAATACATTTCGGAGAGTAAAAGAGACACCATAAAGTATTATACCAGGACAATAAATATAAACCAAGACACTCTCAGGAAACCTGGATATATGCTTATACAAAGTATAAGAAATACAGGATGATTAACAGATCTTGGTGTAGAGAGATTTCTATTTATAACTTGTTTGAGATATTAGCCATTTTGTTGAAAGCAATCAAAACTAATATAGATAGCTTAGAAAGTGGGAATGTTTAATCTAAGTTTGCTTGGAAATCTTTTGGAATAAAAAGGAATGAATAGAGAGAGGCCTTTAAAAGGATAAGAACTAGAGTATAGAATAGCATAAGGAAATGCCACATTTTTTAATCCATTCATCTATTGAAGGGCATCTGGGTTGGTTCCACAGTCTTGCTATTGTGAATTGTGCTGCTATGAACATCGATGTGGCAGTGTCCCTGTAGTACGCTCTTTTAAGGTCTTCAGGGAATAGTCCCAGAAGGGCAATAGCTGGGTCAAATGGTGGTCCCATTCCCAGCTTTCCCAGGAATCTCCATACTGCTTTCCAAATTGGCCGCACCAATTTGCAGTCCCACCAGCAATGTACAAGAGTACCCTTTTCCCCACATCCTCACCAGCACTTGTTGTTGTTTGACTTCAKAATGGCTGCCAATCTTACTGGAGTGAGRTGGTATCTTAGGGTGGTTTTGATTTGCVTTTCTCTGRCTGCTAGAGMTGGTGAGCATTTTTTCATGTACTTGTTGATTGATTGTATGTCCTCCTCTGAGAAGTGTCTGTTCAGGTCCTTGGCCCATTTGTTGATTGGGTYATTTRTTWTCKTATTGTBTAATTTTTTGAGTTCTTTRTATACTCTGGATATTAGGGCTCTATCTGAAGTGTGAGGAGTAAARATTTGTTCCCAGGATGTAGGCTCCCTATTTACCTCTCTTATTGTTTCTCTTGCTGAGAAAAAAACTTTTTTAGTTTAATGGATTTAGATGAATGGATAAAAAAAAATGTGGCATTTATACACAATGGAGTATTACGCAGCACTAAAAAATGACAAAATCATGGGATTTGCAGGGAAATGGATGGCACTAGAGCAGATTATGCTAAGCGAAGCTAGCCAATCCCTAAAAARCAAATGCCAAATGTCTTCTTTGATATAATGAGAGCAACTAAGAACAGAGCACGGAGGAAGAGCAGGAGGAAAAGATTAACATTAAACAGAGACATGAGGTGGGAGGGAAAGGGAGAGAAAAGGGAAATTGCATGGAAATGGAAGGAGACCCTCATTGTTATACAAAATTACATATAAGAGGTTGTAAGGGGAATGGGAAAAAAACAAGGAGAGAAATGAATTACAGTAGATGGGGTAGAGAGAGAAGATGGGAGGGGAGGGGAGGGGGGATAGTAGAGGATAGGAAAGACAGCAGAATACAACAGTTATTAATATGGCATTATGTAAAAATGTGGATGTGTAACCGATGTGATTCTGCAATCTGTATTTGGGGTAAAAATGGGAGTTCATAACCCACTTGAATCTAATGTATGAAATATGATATGTCAAGAGCTTTGTAATGTTTTGAACAACCAATAAAAAAAAGAATAGCATAAGGAAACAGAAAAGGCCTCTCCTCCTTCTCTCATCTCTGTTCCTCTCTAGAACAGTGGTTCTCAAAGGTGATCTTTAAACTAGCAGCATTATTAGGACCTGGAATTTGGTAGAAATGCACATCTTGGATCCTACCCTAGATTTTCTGAATCAGAAATTCCAAAAGAGCTCAGCAATCTGTTTTAACAAACTTTCCAAAGTCATTTCTGCCTAAGTTACAGGTTGAGAACTATTTGTCTAAAAGGCTCTCTATAGTTATCTTCTTATGTTAAGGACCTACTTTCTGCTTCCACCTGAAAGCATATGGCCTCTACCCACAACTATGCTGCTTAGTTCAGCTTATGGCTAGAGACTGAATCAAATAATATGAACATGGCAGCTTCCTGCCTAACAAGGAAAACTTGGGGGCTGAGGCAATTGGAGGATTTCTCCCAAATTGGAGAATTTAGATAACATTGTGTTCTTTCTTGCCAGAAATTTAAGAGAAACAGGAACTTTTTGCCCATAGAAGGTAGGACATCAAAATGAAGATGTTAAGTATCACTTGGATATAACAAAATAATTTAAACAATAGTGAACCTAGATCATGTTCTGAACTTATGCAGCCAGGAACAAAGACTGTCCATACCACAGGGGATGTTCTGGGACTAATCACTGCTCAGCATACATGCCTGAAAACTAAGACATTAAAGCTGAACATCCACACAGAATATATTTTCTTGAAAGACATTAAATATTAGCACTGCTTAATGCTGCTAAAGAAAAATGAAGAGAGGGGCAGAGGGAGAAAGAGAGAGAAATAACATTTCTATGTGCATTACTAACTTCTCAGCTCTGACCACTTACCTCCTGGGCCTGGTTTACCTGTGTTCCATAAATGACTGTATTTATCACCCAGTCAACTTCAGCCAATTTGATTGTAGTGTTAAAAACACAACTCCTCCTGTGCTGACCATTCACAGCTTGATGTTTATATTGCACAGGGGTTGTCTCCTATTAAAAAAACCTGAAGGGTAAAATAGAACTCTACTACATTTAATGAATAACCAATGTTTCCATTTAGATTGAAAGCCTGGAAGATGAAGGGAATGTAGTGGTTCAAATGTACAAGCTTATTGAACAGTATCAGATAGCTACACCTCCTGAAGACTTCGCTGTTTTTGCAACTATGAAGCCATCCATTATTGCTGTTCGAAATGCCATTGATAGAGCAGTGGGTGACAGAGAAACAAGCATTAAGCAATTTTCTCTGCATTTGGGTAGAGATCTTGAAGATCTAAATGAAGAAGTGAATGAAATAAAGCTGCAAGCACAGGTAAGATAAAGCAGGATTTTTTAATCTGAGAAAAGTTTGATTATTATAGTTTTTTAAAATTAAAATATAACTGAAAAGTTGTATATATTTATAGTATCTTACATGACATTTTGATACATGCACATAGTGTGAAATATATTAAATATATTAAGCTTATTAACCTGCCCATCACTTTATACATTTATTTTTTGTGGTAAGAACATTTAAAATCTACACTTCAAACCATTTTGGAAATATACTTCACTTTACTTTATTTTAAATTTGTTTTTATTAACTGTCAACAATATCTTTGAGCTGCTATTTAAAGTGTTTCTGAACCTCTGTTTTTATATACTGAATAAATTCCAGACTATCACAAGAAAAGTCTATATGTAATATTGAATTTTCTAATCTTCCTAGCATTATTATTTTTAAATGAGTGTTTTTATTACTTCTTAAAATATTTATAACTGTTTCACAATTTTAAAATTTGCTTAGCATATTAAATTAAATTAAATTAAATGATATCAAAGATTATTTGGTTAAATTGTATCAATTTTACCATAGAAAAGATTCAGAATTTAGAATAGATCTAGGTGACTCTTAACTAAAGTCTGCCTGAAAATAATCATTTTGTAATGACTTATTATTTTATTATTAGCATTGGCTAAATCTTACCACAGAATTATAAAACCATGTAAAGTTATAATAAAAGTTTAAAAAATGGAAAAACTCAATGTCCATCAACAGATGATTAATAAAGTACAAAAGAGATTAGTAAAATACATGAAGGTAATTCACTCTGAAATAAAATACAGATATTAAAGATTATAATATACACTTATACACATTGACATGGAAATAGTAAAGGCAGATAACATTGTGTTTTTTCCTATTTATCAAGCTCTGTTTTAAGGACTTAACATTGTTTTTGGTTTTGTGTTGAAGAATATTTGTATTTTCTCAGATGAAAGTGTATATCAATGTAATAACTGTATACTTCAATGAATTATCAGAAAGTGAACACATCATGTATCTGCATCTCAGAATGTCAAGCACTATAGCCTTACTGTTACCTTTAATGTGCCCTCTCCTATTCATTAATTCTTTGTTCTATTCCAGAGGCAGCTACTACCCTGAATTCTAATGTCATAAATAAGTTTTGCCTATTTCTGAACTTATGATTAACTAGAATGATACAGTATTTCTTTTACTTTGTTTTTGGTATCTTCCTGAAATTTGTCCATGCTGTGTGGATATAGTTTATTCTAATTTTTTGGCTTTGTATTATTTCATCATATTTTACATTTTAATTATCCATTCCATGGTTGATGGACATTAGGATCATTTAAAGCTTTTGGGAAAGATGAATAATACTCTAGAAGCATTCTCATATGTTTTTACATGTTTTAACTCATTTAATTCTCAAAACACCTATAGGTTGTATTAGTCACATTGTACAAGGAAGGAAATTAAGGTACAAGGAAGTTAAGCAATTTGCCCAGGATTACACAGATAATAAATTATGGGAAAGGATTTAAGCTAAGGAAATCTGCTTTTAGTAGTTAATATTCTGCTATTAAAACAGGAGCAATTATCCTTGGTGCATGTAAATAGATAATTAGAAAGAGCAAACTCCCAGCACATGATTTGTTTGTAATCATGCATTTTAAATAGAATAATGTACATACACAAAAATGATAGCATGAGTTCCCCTACCATGCTTCCTCTATTGAGGGTTTTAAATTAATTCACTGTCACTCTTGGACAAAGAAGTGTAACTTCATTCTTTCCATACATAATAGCATCTTTCTGTCAAGAACCCCAATCTTGCTAATGGAAGAAAATTGAGGAGAAACCTAAATGTGGAAATTGATGATAGAAATGTTTATTTTATTCTAACTTGATCTCTTATATATTTTAATTCAATTCATAATCCTTCCTATGGGACATCTCTTCATCCTTACCACCATTCCCTCCCACCTATTGCATTTCCTTATGGTAGATGGAAAGGATAGATAGCTGGTCCTTATGCTATCTTGTAGACCATAGCAATTTTCATTGCAGTGTGACTGGATTCAGCCTGGTTGTCCCACAAAACTCTTAACTAAGAGTCCTTCCTGTTTCTTTAAGCACCATGCTAGTCCATACTGCTGCAATTCTATTTATTCCTTTTTATTAAAGAGTTAAATAAACTGTGACTTTCTCATCCTGGCCTTAGACAGCTTCAGGTTCACCAATTCTTTCAAGAATTCCCATTACCAGAATCAAGACACACAAGAACTTCAGGATTCCCAACATATTACACCAGAGTTTCAACACAATTATCTTCTGCCTGGACACTTCCCTTAACTTTTTCTAAGGCCATACTGAACAAGAGATGGAATAACTAGCCTCCCTAAACTAGGGCTATAATAGTTTTCAGACTTCTCCAATTTTCTTAGATTCTCCCAAACTTTAAGTTGTTTCTACTTTGTTCCTCAACTATTTCATTCTCATTCCTGGATTTTCAACTCAAAGGGTAGTTAGAACACATGTCTTTTTATTTATATATGTATGTATGTATGTATTTATTTATTTATATTGGGAATTGAACCCAGAGGTGCTTCAGCACTGAGCTACATCCCCAGCCCTTTTTATTTTATTTTGAGACAGGGTATAAGTTGCTGAGGGTCTCCCTAAATTATTGAGGCTACCATGAAACTCGTGATCCTCCTGACAGCCTACAAAGTTGCTGGGTTTATAGGCATGCACTACCATTCCTGGCGTGTCTTAACAACTTATATTCTTAATTTTATTTCTTTCTCTTTATGGTGTGTGTGTGTGTGTGTTGTGTGTGCGTGTGTGTGTGTGTGTGTGTGTGTTTCCTTCCACAGTTCCTGGCTCATAACTTCCATAACCCTTGTTGTTTCCTAAATAACTAGGACACTGAAGTTAATATTTGGTCTTTTGTTCTTGGTTCCTGAAGGTGCTTTGGTAAACTTCAGAGCATCAGGGGAAAGACAATCTTTTGTTATAATGTTGAGGCACTTTAGGCTTGAGAAGAATTCCTCAGAAAGAAAAATACGTTCTCCAAAATTCTGCCATCCTTTCACCTGCTTCTTTTTTTCCTCAAGGCAGACTATAGAAACTATTATTTCTCTTCCACAAGACAGGCTGTAGAAACTAAAAGTGTTCTCTATATAATCCTTCTCCACATTTCTAACTTGGAGCTAGCCATAAAGAAATTCCCTGATAGTAGATCATAGCACCTCCATTTCAGAAGGAGTTCCGCCTCATAGCTGATAGGAAGGAATGCTGTTTAGAGAGGTTAAGAAAAATTTGGATGGACATGCCCTCTTTCCCTGTGCAATCTATTAGCATTAGATTTTTTTTCCAATCACATTTCAATACAGTTGTCCATGCTTCAATCATACTTATGCAATAAAATCTCCGTAAAATCCTGAAAGGACAGGTTTGCAGAGCTTCCAGATAGCTAAATATCTGAAGGTTCCTGGAAGGGGATAACCTAGGGAGGACATGAAAGTTCCTTGTACCTTCTTCCATACCTTACCCTATGAATTTCTTCATCTGTATGCATTGTAAAAAAAAAACTTATAATAAACTGGTAAGCCCAATCAGGTATGTCCTTAAGTTTTGTGAACAAGTCTTGTAAACTAATCAAACCTAGGGAGGGAATCATTGGAACACCAATTTATAGCCAAAAGCACATGTCAAAAAAACCTAGGGGTTGCAATTGGCATCTGAAGAGGAGAAATTATGGAGACTTAGCTCTCAACCTGTGGGCTAACTCCGGAGTTGAATTGGAGGATACTTAGCTGAGGTCTGATGCAGACTTGATTGGTCACTTTGGTGTGTAGGTAATCCCATCCTACACCCCTGAAACACACATATCTGGTTTCAGAAAAAAATGTTGGGAGAGTACAATAGGAATAACTGAGTTTGTTTTTCCTTACTGTCCTTAGACTCTTTGGAATTCAAAGGGCTTTCCTTTTATTTATTGTAAAATGGGAATTTTTCTTATGTCCTTTTTTCTTCTCTTTTTTGTTACGTTCACCTCTCCTTTTTTGAAGTTATATTGGGTAAAGAAATGTAGGAAATAAAAGCAGATGATGAAGAAAACATTAGGTAACCATGTCAACATTGTACAATATATATGCTTTCCCTTTATATTCAGGAAAAACATTTGTCTTTAACATAGTTTCTGACACTCAGAGAGAAAAAAGAATTAGAAAAAAATTTTAAATCATTATTAATCTTTTTAAATCATATTTAATCTTTATTAATTAATTTAATTTAATTGTTCTGCCTCAAAAAATAGTCATTACTAACGAAAATCCATCTTAATTTTATAGGATCCACAGATTTTGGATATTAACACTGATCAAGAAAAAATAAAGAATATTTTAAGTGATCTACAATGTGTTTTAGATGATCTTCAAAAACGTGCCTTTCAATATAAATCCTACCAGAAGAATTTCAAGGTAATGACAATTCTGTATATCTGTTTCTAAAATGTGTGCATAGAAATAGGACATGTATCAATGTGATCATAAACACTTTGTGTTTGGTCAACTATGTGTTAGTTGTTATGCTACAGTGTCAATTACAAAATTTAATATGTTTCTGCCTTTTATATATATATGTATATATATACACACACACACACACACACACACACACCCAATAGACAATATATCTTCATTATTAAAAAGTGATTGCAAATTATAGAAAATTATTAGATAAATGTATATGGACTTTTACATTTGGTTTATTAAAGACCTTCTATCCTTTCTTATGATTTAAACTTCTTTTACACTCATATGTGTGTTATGATTCCATTAATATTGCCTGATTTGGCTTGCACTGATGTTCTAATTTAATGAAAGAAGAGATCCTCACCTAAACCAGGTAGTAAAATGGCCTGAAAGTGTGGATTTAAAAAGCTGAAAAAAATGTGTCTTTAAAAAATATGAAGACAAAAGACAAAGAGATACAGGTGCTTCTAGCAATTTTTAGAAAGACTACCAGGAAAAGAGAACAGTCATAAATATGCTTAAAAATTTCAGGAAGATGGTGCGTGAAAAGTGAGTAGTTCAACATAGATATGGGAAAAATGTGTATTTAAAAAAAACAAAATTTATGGAAGTGAAGAGTACAATAAATGAACTGAATAATTTACTAGAAAAGTTTAAAAGCAAACCTGATCAAGCAAAAGAAAGAATTAGTGAACTCAAAGACAGATCACTTGAAATTATCCAAAGGAGAAAAATTTTAAAAAGTGAAGATGGCTTAAAGGGCTTATAGGAGATAATTAAGCAGACCAATTTTCACTTTATGAGAATCCAAAAAGGAGGAGAGAGAAAAAAATAAGATAGAAAGCTTATTTTATAAAATAATGGCTGATAATTTCCCAAATGTAGAGTAGAAAATGACTATTGAGACTAAAGCCCAAAACATTTCAAAAAGGATGAACCCAAAGAGGTTCACACTAATAATGACATACATCATAATTAAAGTATCAATGGACAAAGAGAGACTTTTGGAAACACCAAGAGAAATGTGACTTAAAATATACAAGGGATTTCAATAAGACTGTCAGTTGATTTCTCAGCAAAAACCTTACAAGCCAGAAAGGAATGAGATGGTATATTCAAAGCTCTGAATGAAAAATCAGTTACCAACCACTACTACTATATCTGGCAAAACTACCCTTCAAAAATTAAGAAGAAATAAATACCTCCCCAGATAAACAAAAGCTGAGGAAACTCATAATCACTAAGTATACTTTATAAGAAATTCTAAAGGGAGTCCTTCAATTTGTGACAAAAGAATGCTAAACAGCAACATAATAAATTCCTAGAAGACAGGGAAATCTCATGACACTGTTCTTGGCTGATTTCTTGGATATGACACCAAAAGTCAAGACAACAAAAACAGAAACAGACAAATGGAACTAAATCAAACTCAAAAGCTTCTGTACTGCCAATGAAACCATAGATAGGGTTGAAAAGTCAACCTACAAGAAAGGGGAAAATGTCTTTTAAGCCACATATTTGATAAGGAGTTATCAAAACATATGAGGAATTTCTACAGTTCAACATCAAGCAGCAAATAATGTGATATTTAAATGGGCAAAGGGATTGAATAGACTTTTCTCCAAAGAAGATATAGGAATGGCCAATGGGTAGACGTAAAGATACTCAGCATCACTAATCGGCAGAAAAATGAATACAAACCAAATCAAGGTATTGCTTCTTACCTATTAGCATGGCCATTATAAATATAAAATAAATAGCAAGTGTTGGTGAGGATGTGGAGAAATTGGAACCTTCTATACTGTTAGTGGGGGATGTAAAATGAAATCACTGTGAAAAACAGTATAGTAGATTCTCAAAAAATTGAAAACAGAACTAAAATATGACCTCTCAATCCAAATTCTAGGCATATATTCATATAGATTATGAATCATGATTTACATCCAAGATTTTGAAGAAATATTTGCACTCCCAAGTTCATTGCAACATGATTATGATTATGATTATGATTGGTACTAGGGATTGAACTCAGGGGCACTCAATCACTGAGCCACATCCCCAACCCTATTTTGTATATTTTTTTAAGAGTCAGGGTCTCAATGAGTTGCTTAGTGTCTTGCTTCTGCTGAGGCTGGCTTTGAGTTCACAACCTTCCTGTCTCAGCATCCTGAGCTATAATACCTTTTGGTATTACAAGTGTATGTCACTGCACCCGGCCATTGCAACATTACTAACAATGGTCAAGATGTGTAAACAACCTCAATGTCCATCAATTGATAAAAGGATACAGAAAATGTGGCATATGCATTCAACAAAATATTATTCAGTCTTTAAAATGAAGGAAATTATGTTATATGCAACATAAATGAATCTGGAGAACATTATGCTATGTGAAATAAGCCAGTTACAGAAGGCAAACACTGCATGATTCCGCTTACATGAAATATCTAATATAGTCATACTGTAAATGCAGAAAGTAGAATGGTGGTTGCCAGTGACTTGAGGTGAAGGAAAATAAGCACACAGTTTCTGTTATGCAAAGTGAAAAAGCATTAGAGATTTCCTGTATAACATTGTTAATATTGTTATAGTTAACAATCCTGTACACTTAAAAATTTGTTAAAAAGCTAGATCTTATTATGTATTTTACCACAATAAAAAGAAAAACATAAGTTTAAAAGTATTTTTAAAAACCAGCCTGAAATAGAAGTATATCCCTCTTTGTACATGCTTAATCTACACTTGGATGATTCTGCCTTCATGAATGTCTCTGACCCAACCTTTCTGCAGCTCTTAACCATTTGAAGAATAGGGATGAAAACCTAAATGGTCTTGGTTGCTGGAAATAATTTCCAGCTCTTAACAAAAAACTGGCCCCAGTTCACCACAAAGCCCAAGAATTTTTGTGCAACCAACTCCCTGTAGGTTTCCCACTTCCAAGCCAAGACAATCTTAAAACCCCTCATTAAATTCTTTCTTCAGATTTTCTTGAATTCTTCTTTTTTTTTTTGTACATGTATATGCAGTTCATGGGGGTTAGAACAAAGTAAAAAACCAGGTTGTCCTATCTATCTTAAACTTCACTATCCTGCCCATCTCCAGCTACCACACAATCATCTTTCATCCAAATACAGAAGCCCTGAAGGAAATAAATACCTCTGAATACTCATCTGTTTTTCAAAAAAGAAAGGCATGTACATGTGTGTCTAGTCCAAATAAAAAATGCATGCACATGGGGGTCTTATAGTATTTATGTCTTTGGAAAAAATATATTTAAGTTTTAAAAAATATTAAGAGTTATAGTTGTTACTCAAATAAAAAATGTAATATGTGTGGGATTTCACGGTGTTCTAAATTTTCATGTGTTTCCGTCTTTCCTTTTATTTCTCCATTTAGGATCTATCTTGTGCCAAGTAGTCACTGTAATCAGTATTACTAATAGAAGGATAGCATAAGGTCTTAATATCTGAAAATAAGTAATACACTTTATTTGTTATGCTTTTAAAGGTAGAAGTGTCCAAGTTTGAAGCTTTGGAAGAAGTTAGCGCTGAACTGAAGCTCAAACAATTGCTTTGGGAGTCTTACTCTGAATGGGATAAACTCCAACAAGAATGGTTAAAGGTAGGTAAAAAGCTCTCATTTCTTAAGTTTTTATTAAATTAAACTTAAAACCCTAATAACATCAGTTATCATTTATAGCAACTTGGTATATTCTTATTAACATTAAAAATTCAATGTTATAATTTCACAGGAATTTTTGTTGGTTTTCCAGTAAAGTACAAGAGGTCTTTTTGTCACTAAATGACAAAAAGTATGTTGGCAGGGTTCTTGGGTCGTCCATTTAAGGAGGATAAATGATGAAGGCACCAAAGGACCACATTGCATGATACCTAACTTTTTGTGCTTTCAAAACATGTTGTTATCATGATATACTCCAGTGATCTTGGGGACTGTAGGATTTTTATTATCTACATGCTTTAGGTTTCTGTTTTCTAAAGTTATATTCTTATTATTCTTTTAAAAAAGAAACTGTTTTGTTCAGTGTGATAGAAGATTAGAGAAAGAAGATCTAGAATCCTCTCTAGAGAGTTCAGTAGTTCTCTCTCTCTCTCTCTCTCTCTCTCTCTCTCTCTCTC